GTGATGGGCTTTGGTACATCATGTGACTTTCTCATCACCACCTGCATTTGGTGGTTATCAGTGTATTACAAAGCTACAAAACAGATTTCAGTACTTCAATAGGTTGGTATATTAACATTATATCAGTTAATGAAATTACGGTATTTAACTGTAAATTTAAGTTAAAACCTAAAACGTTGCTACCGTATTTTTTACGGTAAAATTCCGGCAACCACAGCTGCCATTTTTTTACCGTAAATTTGACGGATTTTTTTTTACAGTGTATATGATGAGAAGTCCTGCTCTGATTAATACTGGAGAACATCTCTAAAAGCACTATGAATGATAAACTGCAGTTTGAAGTGCAATACATGAGACTGCAATTGTTCCACATTCTTATTCACAAAATGTTGTTTCATCTGAAAACACGATGGATAAAATTGCTGACGATTCTGAGCAGTACTGATCACAAAAAAGCGCAGTTTCCAAATGGCAAGTTGAACATTGATGACCAATACTGCATGCTCCTTCATATGATATTCTTAACCAACCATTAAATTACTAAAGTATTGCTGACAGAAACTAAACTATAGACAGCAGCATGTACCTGCATCTACTTGTGTCTTGTAACGCAATCAAGATCCATCATTAATGATTATTATATAAATAGGAGGGCTTTTCTGTCGAGCTCCAGTTAAAGAAATGTAAGGTGGTTTGCTGGTTTTAGCTGGTTTCTATAGATCAGACTGGTCTAATTTGACAGTTTTATGGGGTTTTTGGGCACATCAGTTGGACAGTTGCACTATAAAAAATGATTTTTTTGAAGCTGAAAATAAAAAAGATGAGACTGTTTTACAAGAATACTATTTTTTACACGTTTAAAATGTTACATTTAGTTCAATGTGTAACTTGCTGCTTCTTTGTAACTGTTTATTACATTTAATAGCATTTTATGAGTGAAAATCGAAGAAGGTGAATGTAAAGAATGTCAAGAATTCCTGTTGGAATATATTTTATAATTTAGAATCAGCTCTAAAGAATCCTAATGGGAATTTTGTAAAGATTCCATAAAATAAACCAAAACTATTTCAATTAATGTTACTTTTTTTTTTTCAATAAAATTCAAATCTTTTAACTATAACAAAATACAATATACACAAAAATATATGTTCACAGAATTTAGAGCAATTTAGTGAAATATCTGATTTACAAATGAATTATTAGTGAAATATCTTATTTACAAAGAAATTATTTTACACCCACAACCCCCAGCGTGACTGCCTTTAATAATAATACATTGCAATAGCATAGCATTAAAAAAGCTGTAGAAATTCCATGTTCAATTTCAGCATTCGATATTAATAAAAATACCAGTGTTTACATATTCTCCATATAATCCATCCTTCATAAAGCTCTCATAAACTGTGTTTCAGCCTTTGACCACATCTTGATTCTTACAGGACTTGTAATTGATCCCATTAGGATCGGTTCTAAATTCCAATAGAAATCAAGTACATTCCTTAAGGATCTGAGTTGACTGCCTGTCGCTGTCTGTGGTGCTGAACATCAGACAGCCAAACACATCAAAGAGCAAGCTCAACCCCCACAGCAAAGATAAGTATAAGAATTGGTGATAAAATGTAAATGTACTTACATCATTAATGGAGAGGAGTATAACGAGACACATCAAACTGCTCGCAATCATCATCATTTAGAAGAACTTTCCTCACAGCTGCTCTGATCTCTGTGAAATGCTCAGTGGGATTCAGTGAAGTTCAGGGGAAGCTGATCGTCCTGATGCAAGGCTCTTCTCTTCTCTGCTCTGCGCCGTGAACACATGGTCACTCAGCTCCATCTGACACTGACAGACGCTCGCTCACATGAGGGAGGAACGCCTATGAACGTCGACACAACCAATCATATGACTTTCATTAACAGAGTCATATCTGACTTCATACAGTGGATAAAAATCAAACACATTCATATTCACAAAATATGGAGATAGACAAGAAATATCATTCATACATGTTTAATACACCAGTATTTATTACCTGTAGGTCATCAGAAAACAGAAGCTGTACAAAGAAAGACCTTGGTGCTTTACAACATGACCATAATCAACAAAGATCAGCGAGACCACTTTGCAATGTACTAAACATTTCTGTGCAATAGAAAAGAAATGAATATGATTTAATACTCATTGCTATTTACAAATAAAACTAAAGGTAAACATTCATTTCACCAGCTGCTAGCAGGACAGCCGGGTGAAACGACTCTAATGTAGCAGCGTAAATGAATCGGGGAAATGAGGAGAGTTGACCGATAAAAAGCATCTTCTATATAACTACTATATGAATGGAAGATTTCAGCAGGATTCATAGACTATCACATCTTAGGAATATCATATTCACGCTGCTTTTTAAAAAAAAATAAAAAATATAACAGGTCCTTAAATTCAAATTAAATCACATTTCATGAATACATACACACTATATTTTCTTTTTCAATGCATTTTGTATTTTTTAGAGGGGATGAAGGGTAATGTATAATCATTTGAAAATAATTTATGGATATATAAATTGAATACTGCTTAATCTGCTGAATTATAAAAAAAAATATTTACTGTTTAATGGCTTTGTAAGTTTGTTGCACGTGCGTGAGACAGCTCATACTTATGATGTCATAATATTACACAATAATATATATATACAGTATATATATATATATATATATATATCAGATCCAACAAAAGTGCTACACATGTACAATGAGCCCAGAAAGTATTTGCACACTTAAACCACACTTCATGTATGGATGTATATGCATTAGATAACAATATCAAAAGTAAATATATTTGCATTTGTGATGACGTGTGTGTGTCTGTGTGTGTGTATAGTACCACTTTTAATTCATTAAAGTTTTATAAAATACTATCACAAGTTTTAAATAACACAGACATAAGCTGCTTAATGATATTGATATATTAAATAGTAACTGCTCAAAAGAGTCGTTCAGGAATCGGACTCACATTGGTCGTGTTGTATATTTTTGATGCAGTATAAAATACCAGTTCATAAGAGTCATTGTATAGTTTGGGAATCAGACTACACTGGACACGTCGTATGTTTCTGATTCAGTATAAAATACGAGTTCATAAAGGTCATTTGTTCAGAAATTAGACTACACTGGATGTGTCATATGAACCAGTGCTTTTTAGTGAATCAAAAACATGACACAACCAGTGTAGTCCAATTCCCAAACAAATGAATCGTATGAACCGGTTCTTTTTAGTGAATCAAAAACATAAGATTCATTTGTTTGGGAATTGGACTACACTGGATACATTGCACATTTTTGCTTCACTAAAAATAACCGGTTCATATCAGTCAGTTGCTCCGGAATCGGACTGCAGTTGGTTGCATTATTTGTTTTTGATCCAGTATAAAATACTGATTCATAAGAGTTATTCATTCAGGAATTGGACTACACTGGATGCGTCATATGTTTTTGATTCACTAAAAAGAACCGGTTCATAAGAGTCATTCGTTGGGGAATCTGACTACACTGGACGTGCCATATGATTTAGATTCACTAAAATGAAGCTGCTTTTAAGAAGCGTTTTGTCTTGCACTCAGTGTCGGTCGCGCAAAAAACACCATCAGAATAGTTTAGTACAGTATTTCGCAGCATTGGTAGAAAATGCACATTTTGGAAGTGAACATTAATCGTTTCCAGTATTTAAAAATGCAACCAGTTCCCCATCTAATGCAATTACATTCAGACATATTAAAGTTTATCTTGCGTGTCCAAATACTTTGTAGGGCCACTGTATTTTGCATGTCCACTGTCCTGTGAGAATTGGCAACAATTAGTAACAAAACTTCAGTATTTTTTAATCAATAATAAGGCAGAAACTATCGGTCTTCCCATGAGACCCATTGTCTTGACACGTACATCATTCATGTAATTAGATACCAGACATTGAAAACGGGGCATAAACCCCCCAATCAAAAGTCATACTACTGTCACAACCACTTTTCCTCGACAACTGTATATCGACCAATTATTATAAAAATGTCTGAATGGAAAGCTATAACAAAAAATACATATTTAAAGTCTGTTGAGCAGAAAAGACACATCATAGAAACTATACAATGCACAAATGAGTGAAAACAAAAGGACGTGAGGTCTTTAAAGAGTCCCACTCTGAGATTGATTTTTACACTTTTTCAGCTATCCCGTCTCACTGATGTGCTCCAGATTCATATTCGCTTGCCTTGAAGAATCGTTGCTTCTGAGACATCAATGGTTCAATGGCGAACGCTTTCCTTGCTGCACTAATATAGTGCAAAATAACGCCTGGAATCAGAGTGGGACTTCCAGGAGAACATGATTTGTCTCGTTTTCACCTTCCATAGAAAGGCTGCATCTTCTGTGAGCAAATGTCGTCCATGATATCTGAAGATCCCAAGTTTCCTTACGTGTTCTCTACTATGCGTGTTGTATGTTTTGGCATTGTCTGTTCAATAGCTCCTTCCAAATATTGAATCCCCTCAGCTGGGAAGCACAAGTCGGAAGAAAGTTGTTCCGATAAGGTCCTGACCCGTCGTATAGTAGACCGCAGTTGCATAATTGACAAATACTTGTAAGGAACTGAATATAAACAAAGGCATGTTCTCACAGCGTGTGAAGATGTGTGTAAAGGCTCTTCCAGAACAAGAACATGAAGTAAAAATAAAGTATGAAAGTTTTTGTTTGCGGCTCTTGGATGTTTCTTCTTCCTCTATGTTGGATTCAAGCATTTAGGGTCCAGTATTTGAGATGGTTAGGCATTTTTTTTTTTTTTGTGGAGGAGTATTTGGTTGAATCTCAAGAACATTCCTGGGTCATACTTCACCCCAAAATCAAATGGTAAAAAGGTAAGGAATTACATTTTTCATAAACAAAAAATGAAGCTAAAATAGGCTTTGTTTCATTTATGCAAAATATCATTACTTCATTTTTTCTTTTGAATTAGGGGTATAATGCGACCTGGACATGTTTTCACGAGATTCAACCATTTGCTGATGACATTTTTCATGATGTTAGTTTTCCAAGAAGGGCTACATGTCCACATCTCCGTCGTATGCCAGGGTCAAGGGTTTCAAGCGATTATTATTTTGTCTTCGCTGAGGTTTCTTTGGCTTTTTGCTGAGGACAAAAGAATGATGCGGTTGTCACTCTCAAAACCTTGCAGTGTGAACACAGACTGTGTGCAGTTTATCTTATGAGAAAACGCATTTTATATTACACAAACACAGTATATATTATATGCATATGCATGTTATGGCATATGATACAAAAATGAAATCATGAAATATGTGTAAAAAAACAAGACGATGAAATATAATAGGTGCCCTGAGAGGTGCAAAATGATGTGTAAAGCAGTTGGACTTCATTAAAGACTACACTGGCCTAATTTGTTTTCAGCATTATTGCAACATATAATCATAAAAAAAAAGGTTGCTGCTCCAAAACCTAGCGAGCTGCCCCCACAGGCAACATTTTCAGGCATAATAGATGCAAAGTCTGTTCCAAAATGTAGGAAATGATAATGCTGCCTACTGAAACACCTCATTTGGGCCTAATTCTAAGGCAAAATCACATGTATCCATCACAGAGAATGCAATCCCAAAAACATTACGGCATATCAGTAAAAAAAATAAAAAAAAATAATGATGGACAAAGTGTGAGAAATGTTGTTTATGAATCTAGATCAAAATAAAAAATAGAAATGAACACTATTTTTGAGTAACTGTTTTTAATGGTTTTAGTTTTAGCTACCTATAATAACCACTCTTAGAAGGCAGTATGTAGGCAGTAGGAACCAATGCAAGCTCACTAGGATTTGCAACAGAGCAATTTTTAAAAATCCTTTTCTAAACCAATAAACCATAAATAAGCAGCCTACCCGGGCAGCTCAATGCATTTAGCATCAGAACGTAAGGCACAGACTGAGGTGGAGGCACGAGGCAGAGGGGGCTGAGATGTCAGGACATCAGGAGCCTGTTTCTCCAGCCTTTAACTGGCTCTTGACTCTTGACTTGGCTGCTGGCACTCAGGGCAGGTGTATGTCAGCTCATGGGCATCTTGGCCCATCCATACCACCGTACCGTTGGCAGAATCTGGCGTCCCGAGTGACCACCGGATGGCACAGTAACTGCTGCTCATGACGGCGAGGGAGGCATGGATGAGGGTGGAGTGTGAGTTAAAGAAAAACAGAACCAAACGAATGCATGGAGTGAATGAGAAAATAAAACGAGTGATGATGGAGCGAACGGAAAGGGTTGTCTTTCTTACCATGCGAGGTAAATCATTGACACTATAAATACCAGGAGGACAAAAACACCTGCAGCCACGCCGTACACCCACGTCTTCAGCTTTCCATCTAAAGAGGTGAAAAATATTTAGCATAGGCCAATAAACAGAAGCAAAATGCAAAACTATATTAAGTTGGTTGGTGTCTTAACGCCATGCCATCTTCCTGGGCTATTTTCATAGCTCCCAAAGTTGAAATACTACAAAAGAGCAATTTAAAACAACTAACTCTGAATTACTCAAGCAATTCTGGATTTTTTTTTTTCATTTAGAATTCTCAGATTAGATCTTGCACTTCTGACTTTTTTCATCAAATCGCAAGCCTAAACTAACAAGGTTCTAAACTAGTAATTGTGAGTTAATATTTCACAATTGTTATTTTTCCCCCTGAACTCTGAGTTTACAACTTGAAATTATTTTTCCCACCACAGAAAAAAAACTAAATTATTGCAATATTTTATCTCACAGTTCTGACTTTTTTTCTCAGAACTGGGAGTTTATATCTCACACCTGCTTATAAAGCAATTAGCAAAAAGTTATAAACTAATAATTCTGAATTTACATCTCGAAATGGTTAGAATTCTCAGTTTAGAGTTTGCAATTCTGACTTTTATTTCTTTGAGTTGCAAGTTTATATATATCGCAATTTCAAGTTTGATTGAGTGTTATTTTAACCATGGGATAAAAAATAAAAAAGGTTATTGCAACTTTTTATCTGACAATTCTGAGGTTTTTTTAATCTTAAAATTCTAGCTTCTTTTTTTTTCTCCTTGCTATAGTACTTATTTTTTATTTTGTGGTGGGAAAAAAACCCCTGAATTGCAATATGTAAACTCGGAATTCAGAGCAAAAAAAAAAAAAAAAAAAAAAATAAATGCATGGAGTGAATGAGAAAATAAAACGAGTGATGATGGAGCGAACGGAAAGGGTTGTCTTTCTTACCATGCGAGGTAAATCATTGACACTATAAATACCAGGAGGACAAAAACACCTGCAGCCACGCCGTACACCCACGTCTTCAGCTTTCCATCTAAAGAGGTGAAAAATATTTAGCATAGGCCAATAAACAGAAGCAAAATGCAAAACTATATTAAGTTGGTTGGTGTCTTAACGCCATGCCATCTTCCTGGGCTATTTTCATAGCTCCCAAAGTTGAAATACTACAAAAGAGCAATTTAAAACAACTAACTCTGAATTACTCAAGCAATTCTGGATTTTTTTTTTTCATTTAGAATTCTCAGATTAGATCTTGCACTTCTGACTTTTTTCATCAAATCGCAAGCCTAAACTAACAAGGTTCTAAACTAGTAATTGTGAGTTAATATTTCACAATTGTTATTTTTCCCCCTGAACTCTGAGTTTACAACTTGAAATTATTTTTCCCACCACAGAAAAAAAACTAAATTATTGCAATATTTTATCTCACAGTTCTGACTTTTTTTCTCAGAACTGGGAGTTTATATCTCACACCTGCTTATAAAGCAATTAGCAAAAAGTTATAAACTAATAATTCTGAATTTACATCTCGAAATGGTTAGAATTCTCAGTTTAGAGTTTGCAATTCTGACTTTTATTTCTTTGAGTTGCAAGTTTATATATATCGCAATTTCAAGTTTGATTGAGTGTTATTTTAACCATGGGATAAAAAATAAAAAAGGTTATTGCAACTTTTTATCTGACAATTCTGAGGTTTTTTTTATCTTAAAATTCTAGCTTATTTTTTTTTTCCTTGCTATAGTACTTATTTTTTATTTTGTGGTGGGAAAAAAAACCCTGAATTGCAATATGTAAACTCGGAATTCAGAGCAAAAAAAAATAAATAAATAAAATCAGAATTGCAAGATATAAACTCTGAATTTTGAGATCAAAAGTTGCAATTGCCTTTTTAATTTTTTTTATTCCGTGACAAAAACAAGCTTCAATAAAAACTTAATTGTCATTCAATAAAGAAAAAAATATTTTAAAAGTGTTTGCTGAGTAATATAACTTTTTAGACCTTTCAGCACAATTAAATAAAATATATGCTTAAGTAAGACTGGACTAATGAAACATTTACCAGGTCCAAAGGGTTGCAGGTACCAGGTGCGCCACCACAGAAAAAAAACTAAATTATTGCAATATTTTATCTCACAGTTCTGACTTTTTTTCTCAGAACTGGGAGTTTATATCTCACACCTGCTTATAAAGCAATTAGCAAAAAGTTATAAACTAATAATTCTGAATTTACATCTCGAAATGGTTAGAATTCTCAGTTTAGAGTTTGCAATTCTGACTTTTATTTCTTTGAGTTGCAAGTTTATATATATCGCAATTTCAAGTTTGATTGAGTGTTATTTTAACCATGGGATAAAAAATAAAAAAGGTTATTGCAACTTTTTATCTGACAATTCTGAGGTTTTTTTTATCTTAAAATTCTAGCTTATTTTTTTTTTCCTTGCTATAGTACTTATTTTTTATTTTGTGGTGGGAAAAAAAACCCTGAATTGCAATATGTAAACTCGGAATTCAGAGCAAAAAAAAATAAATAAATAAAATCAGAATTGCAAGATATAAACTCTGAATTTTGAGATCAAAAGTTGCAATTGCCTTTTTAATTTTTTTTATTCCGTGACAAAAACAAGCTTCAATAAAAACTTAATTGTCATTCAATAAAGAAAAAAATATTTTAAAAGTGTTTGCTGAGTAATATAACTTTTTAGACCTTTCAGCACAATTAAATAAAATATATGCTTAAGAGAAACTGGACTAATGAAACATTTACCAGGTCCAAAGGGTTGCAGGTACCAGGTGCGTCCGGCGCGGCCAGGCTGTACCGTGGTGGGCAGGGTGGGGTTGATGGCCCGGCTGGTCTTCACGTCAGCTTTCTTGTCCCCTGCAGTGGGGATTTCGAGCACAGGGATAGGTGTACATTGCTCTAGCATCCCCTCGGCCGTCAGCACCTCGGTATAGCCCTCCTCGCACATACATACGCCCTCCTGCAGGGGGCAGCAAAGGCACATAAATACTATCATGCTTTCTGCTTCCTCTCAAAGCTTGTGACCCAATTCAGTCCTAAAACCAAGACATTTCTGCACTCTCAGTTCTAAAAGGTCAATGTTTTTTCAATGGGTTTTTGGTTAAATGCACCTGAAATAAGGTCTGTGGTTAACACAAGCTCATTTTATTCTATGGCATGAAATACATCAGTAATACGGCACTTGGGATTTTTTAAAGTCTTTTTTTTGTTGCTAAATATGACTACAGAGGTTGTCGGGGACATTAAATGTCATCACACTGAACAGAAAAACTCATCTACTCACTAGTTGCTTTTACAGCCTTGCTGCATTCATAACCACGCTCTTGCAAACTTTCCAACATGGTAATTTTAAGTAAACACTGAAAGAGTTGTTGAAGCTTAATGGCGGTGACGGTGAAGTTGTGCAACTGTGGTGTAGTTCATTTATAGCCTAACTTTAGCTTTTTACTTCTGCTGATTGAATTTAGACTTCACAATTCATAAAAGTTGTGCTCATTTTTGAAGATCAACTTGATGAACAAAATGTGTAAGATTCATAAACCTTCTGCAATAATCAAAAACCAGTGGAAAAATAATGTTGGGTTTTGGTCGAAGGAACCAGTGTGATGTTAACTTCTGGATTGGCCTACATTGACCAAGAAAATCACCCATCCCTAGTGAAAAGAGAACATTCACACATTTTTGTGTTAATGTGCAAGGGATTGTGGGTAAAATTATCCCAAAAAGCATGCACGCTTCAAAAATCGACTAGAAGTATTTGTACAGCTATGACTTTGTATGCACTTATTCTTTTCTCAAAATGATTAAAAATGGGTCTTGCAAACACATAAAAAAGCTAATTGAGCATGCTTCAGAAATATAGATCAATTGCATCCAAAAATAAAAACAAAAGTACAGCTTATGACCATGATTTTCTGTTGCATTCATTATGATAATTGCAGCTGGAGCACTGTCTGCAGTTACAGACTCTCAGGCTCAGAACTGCAGTAATCCCACAATCCTCTTGTGTCTTACCTCTGAGCAAAATGACTGTGGTTTGTCACAAGGTGGATCACATGACTGGTCCGTCCCTGGCAGTAGAGCTGGAGGGCATCCACCTGGAAGAAATAAGAGGGTAGATATCATTTCAAGCTTTTGACAACTCGGCTTGGAAAAAAGTAATAGGTCAATCAGGAATGTGCATACATACAATATGTGCTAGAAAAATGGCATCTTTTGCACAATATACATATTACAGTATATACTGCATACTGTGTGCAGATGCTGGTATCATAGTCTCCTATGTTCTGTAGTGCGTCATGATAATATACACCATCTAAAACCACTGTATTTAAAATAGAACTCTGCTAATTCGTTTTTTAAATTATTATGCATGCAGCTTTCATGAGCTCATTTATTCAGAAGCTACAAAAATTCATTTGTCACACCACAGGACCATTAAACATGACCTCAAGAAGGCAAAAAGGCATTTAAAAGTGGCAAAAACTTACAAAAAATACCAACAGAACCTAAGATGTACTCTTGATTGCTTTATACTGTACATGCATAAACATTTTAACCTGAAATCTTGAAATTGATTAAAAAATTAAACACAAACTGTGCATCAATGACCCATTAGCAAAGGGGCTCTGATGGTTTGTTTTGGTATCTGTTATTCCTCATTGGCTGCTTATTCATGTGACGTAAAGAAACAGATGTGAAGCGGTGTAGTACAGCACCTGTGACGTTTATTCCATCCGAGCGCTGACACCAGATCAGCTGAGGATTGCCCATCCACTGGTACTCATAACACTCCCCATCTAGATGGAAATCAATAGAGTAAATATACATTCTGCGGCCGTACACTTTTAGGCAGCTGTAGAGAGACTCGATAAGGGTGTTTTCATACAATCTTGTTTAAAAGTACCAAAACTATTCAAATGAACCAAAATGTGAACCAAGTGCATGGTTGACGGTAGCCATTGACTTCCATAGTATTTAAAAATACTACGAAAGTCTATGGCTACCGTCAACTGTTTGGTTGCCAACATTCTTCAAAATATCTTCTTTTGTATTTGACAGAAGAAAAAAACAGGTTTGCAACAAGTGGATTGCGACAAAATGACGACACAATTTTCATTTTTGGATGAGCATTTGTAACAAATCAAGCTGAAGACATCCAACTGCATTTCATGTAAAATTCTTAAATACATGCACATAAATATATACATGCCCTTGTGAAAAAGAAGTATGCTTAATTGTATTGAATGTGCACTTATAGGCCTAGTGCACTTTAAATCTTAAAAGTATATTTTTGAAAACTGTACATGCAGATAATATAATATTAGTGCAATAAAAGGCGTTTACAGAGTACACTTTCATGACTATATTTCTCAACACATTTATGCACAGTACATATTACACAGTACGTGTTTTAAATTCTTATGTTTTAATTGTTTTGTTGTGCTTTAAAGTAATACACTTATTTTGATGTGTTGACTAACGTACTAAAGCACATGTAAAGTACTTGATTGTAATTTTAACTGTAGCTTGTTCTTTGATATTACATTTAAAGTTAACATTTTCAATGTACTAAATTGCAACATCATTATAAATGTGTAATTATAAATATATTTAAATACATGACATACAAATTTCAGTAGAAATGACATTAAAGTATATTTTAGTTTTGCATAAATGCTTCAAGTAATTATGAAATTACATACAGAGATATACTTGGATCCTACTTAAGTGGATCAAAAAACCTCTTATGTTCAAATAATTGCATTTAACTTAAATTTAAACTATAATCTATGGAAGCATATAGGTAGCGAAATTCAATTTAAAATGCAATATGCAAAATGGCAATGCAATATTCAAAATGGCAAAGCAATATTCAAAATGGCATTGTATTTCTGTATTTAAATGTACATTTTCCATTACCCATACGTGCAAAGTTTGGTGCAATCATGTAATTACAATTAACATGCAATTAAGTATCCTGAAAGATTACATCACAAAGTATATTATTTCCATAACAAGTACTCTTTTTAAAAGTATGCCCAAGTGTACTTGTTTTTGTGAAGATGATGCCACTATAAAACAAATGATGTGTGTTATAAAATGTTACATTTTTAAAATTCTTCATGTTGAATAAAATCAAAGTAAAGCAGAGTCTTTATGCCAATGAGAGAGGAGGAGCATGTGTCTCACTGCTGCAGGGCCGGGTCTGCCACTCCTGATCGGGGCACTGAGCGATGTTCTCCGGCTCCTGCGCGATGACCGCACGTGAACGGACCTGCACCGGAGTGAAGTCCAAATGCTGGCCCTTCACACACACACTCTGACACGGGCTCCAGTCGGACCACTCCATCAGGTAACAGTCACCTGAACAGATCAACACGAGAGCTGAGCTGCCTGATAATCAACTCACTTCAGCATGACAACAACAGAAGTGTTGGGGAAGCTGTCAAACTCTAATTTGACATGTAATAATTCACTTATAATTTGGTAATAAGAAGTAGCCAAAAAGAAGTAGAAGTAGAAGAAGTAGTTCAAATGTAGTCATATCTACCATTTTAAGAATGTTATCTACAATAGAAAAAAAAAAAAAAAAAAAGCTGGGCATTACATTGAAGCTATTTAAGGGAATAATATTTTAGATTATATATTTTATACTAATTTTAACACATTTGTGATACAAAACAATGAAAAACTCAAATAGGGTGACAGAATCATATATAACTAACTTGAAAGTGGTGACAAACAGCAATATTGTTGTATAAATAAATATTTATAAGAAAAATAAAACAGTTGAATGACACACAGGGTCAATAATATTAAGGAATCGACTGATAACAAAGGAATTTAATTAAAGGGGTCATATGATGCTGCTAAAAAGAACATTATTTTGTGTATTTGGTGTAATGAAATGTGTTTAAAATTCAGCTTTGAAATCACAGGACTATATTACATTTTAGAATATACTCAAATAGAAAACAGTTATTTTAAATAGTAAAAATATTTCAAAATTTTACTGTTTTTGCTGTTTCTTTGGAGCAAATAAATGCAGGCTTGGTGAGCAGAAGAGAATTCTTTAAAAAAACATTAAAAATTTTACTGTTCAAAAACTTTTGACTGGTAGTGTATTCATTCAATATTATATAGACTTTATATTCAGAATAAAACCAACAAATCTATAGTGTTGTCATTCTTGGGTTGCTGGGGTTTTTTAATTAGTATTTTTTGCTGTATGTCCCGATAACAGTCTGTTACCAGGGCAGGGTAAGGTGCAGGTCTCCTCCAGAACAATATTCTTATCTCCATCGACGGCCTGCTCCAATCCAGCACAGAGCTCTTCCTCTACAATGCTGCTCTTCCCATCGCCGGAGCCGTCTGATACAAAGCACGACAGGTTCCGGAAACGCAGGCCCACCCCACACACCACCTCCTACAACACACACAAACACACACACACACACAAACACACACACACACACAGGTTCAGATGTGAGCGCCGAGCAGTCATAAACACTTCCTAAATCCAAAGATCAAAAGCAGGATTGAAACGGAGGAAGATCAGAGAGAATAATAGAAGAGAAGACGAGGTTGACAGCGAGATTGGAAAACAAGGTGTTGGAAGAGCGAGGAGTTCCAGCGCGGGTCGTTAACGCATTCAGAGCGTGTGCCGTTGGGCGATTGAGGTGTTTAGCACCAACCATTGTTCTGTTGTACAATACAGTTCAATAAACAATAAAACCTTTCAATTTCATGAGTCACAATGGAGATTAGTAGAAAAAAAAACAACAAAAAAACAAAAAGCAAAAGATTAGATGATAAACTTATTATAGATTAGGGATGTACACAACTGTTATTTTTTTTTATTAAACTTTTATTGAGCAATGATGCATTATATTGTTTAAAAAGGACATTAAGACAATAATATTATTTTAATATTATATTAATTTCTATCATAAATATTCATCTTTTGAACCTTATATTCTTCAAAGAATCCTGAAAAAATGTATCATTTCCACTACAATAATAAACAGCACAACTGTTTTTAACATTGATAATAATAATAAATGTTTGTTGAGCAGCAAATCAGCATATTAGAATGATTTCTGAAGGATCATGTGACACTGAAGACTGGCGTAATGATGCTGAAAATTCAGCTTTGCATCACAGGAATAAATTACATTTTAAAATATATTCAAATAGAAAATAGTTATTTTAAATAGTAATAATATTTCACAATTTTACTGTATTTTTTATCAAATAAATGCAGTCTTGGTGATCGGAACAAATCTTACCGACCCAAAACCTATGTACTATTGTGAACTTTAGTGTGGATAGTTTGACATTGACAATTTGTCTTTTTTTAGAAAAAAAATCATGAATTGTGAAATATGGACTTGACCTAGAACCTTAGCAAGTCCGAGTTCACCAAACTTTGAATGTTTTCTTTGAACGTGAATGCATTTCTGTGATGAAGTTTCATCTTGAAGTGCTTAAGTTCAGATTTGATGACCTCGGATCTGTGAATTTACATTCAGCTGTTTGATCTATAAGAACTGAAAAAGACCTCAACACGGCACTCGGACCACGGGCCGTACTGCCATCTGTAACAGGGTCTCACAGGACACGGCTTCCACTGCTCCATCTGAGACGGACACGGCCTGCCGTCCCCCTGAGACGCCTCAACCACCGTCCGTCTGCGCCACATCTTCCCTGAGGAATTGAGACATAAGACAGAGAAATGAGTTTGAGCTTCAGTTCCAGAGAGCAACACAATTTAAAGAAATAGCTGACCTCAAAAATCTTGTTCTGTACCACAGTAAAAATATGGTAATATGACTTTTTATGTAGTTATAAATACTTCACAATTATATTATAATATCTTTTTTTTTGCAATACATTTAGAAGAGATTTTTCACACTACCATGCAAAGGTTTGGGGTCAATATGATTTTTTAAAGATGTTTTTAAAAGAAGGCTCTTTCATCAAAAATACAGTAAAAAAATAGCAATATTTTGAAATATTATTAAAATTTAAAATAACAGTTTACTATTTGAATATATTTTAAAATGTAATTTATTCCTGTGATGCAAAGCTGAATTTTCAGCATCATTACTCCAGTCTTCAGTGTCACATGATTCTTCAGAAATCATTCAAATATGCTGATTTGCTGCTCAAGAAACATTTCCTCTTATTATCAATGTTGAAAACAAGTTGTGCTGCTTCATATTCTTTGTGGAATCCATGATACTTTTTTCAAGGTTCTTGGATGAATTGAAAGTTCAAAAGAACAGCATTTATTTGAAATAGAAATCTTTTGTAACATTATAAATGCCATCACTGTCACTTTTGATAAATGTATTGCATCCTTGCTGAATAAAATTATTAATTTCTTTCTAAAAAAAATAAAATAAAAAAAACTTGCAGACCCCAAACTTTTGAATGATAGTGAACATTACGAGAGTGAAAAATAAAGTCACAAAAGTTTAGATTTTTCAGAGTGAAATATGACCTGATCCTGTTTTTGACAGATTTGGTGCTCTGCTTGCATACACACACACACACACACACATCTCCACACACTCATCTTTCAGTGTCTAGCTCAAGGCACGGCAGTCTCAGATAACTCTAGTTTATCCCACATGTGTTTAGCATAAAACTGCACACAATGCACCGCCTTCTGTCTCGCTCTGCTTTTTCTGCCTTATCTTGGAAGTGTTTGGCAGGCAGACTGTCAGTTTCTATCTAGGGCTGCTTCCATCTGTTTTCGTTGAACAGTACCTTCTCAAAGTCCACCATTTCATCACGTGTTTCCGAATTTTAGCTCCATTCTCCTATGCTGCCTTTTTTCTCTTTTTCTGCATGGTAAATTTTACAGCCTACATACTTAGCTAATGTCAAACAGGTGAGCATGGCACCAGCGACACCAAGACCAATGTTTTGCTTTGTTTTTCTTTACTTTAAAGTTGCACTTAAGTCAGAAAATTAGATTTTGAGCTTGCTATTTTGATGTGTTTTCCAATTTTGTGTGCAATTTATTGGGCTGAGATGATAAGATGTTTTTTTTAAAGAAATTAATCATTTTATTCAGCTAGGATGCATTAAATTAATCAAAAGTCAGAGTAAATATATTTATAATATTACAAAAGATTTATATTTCAAATAAATTCTGTTATTTTGAACTTTCTGTTCCCTTTCAGCCGGTCACTCTCGACGTCACGTCGGATGACCGACGAAATTGGGATCTCGCTTAGAGGGACCAATCTACTTCGAGTGTAAACTAAACGAGCCAATGCACATTGAATGTATCATGGTTTCCACAAAAATATGAAGCAGCACAACTGTTTTGTACATTGATAATAATAATAAAAGTGTCTTGAGCGGCAAATCAGTATATTAGAATGATTTCTGAAGGATCATGTGACACTGAAGAAAGAAAATTCAGCTTTGCATCACAGGAATGTTAACATGTATTAACATAGAATATGGTTATTGTAAATATCAATATTATTTCACAATATTACTGGTTTTTATGTATTTTGATCAAATAAAAGCAGCCTTAAAAAATCTAACAGTCCCCAACCTTTTGAATGTGTGTATCTGACAATTACAAATACATTTATTACAGCAGTAAGAAGTCATATATTTGTCCATTTTTTTGGCTTTACCTTCAAGGCCACAGGTCTGTGAGCAGTCTGACCATGCTGACCAATCAGAGAGCTGGCAGTTGACTGGACACTCCACCGTACAGGAAGCATTCATCTGCCATTTCTTCTCTAAGCGCAGCTGCGGAATGAAATAAGCATTCATGAAAAAAAATTTTTTTTTGTGTTTTTTTTAGAACTAGGGGTAGTTGTGTTCTACACTAGACTAATTGTAACCCTGATATAAAGTGGGCTGGTTGAAAACTGGGTTACAGGGTTAATATGCCGTGCATTAACACTTTTAAGATTTATTGCCCACAGGGTCCAATTAAAGTGACCAGAGCTGTCGGATTTTGACTGATCTTTTGCCATCTCTTTTCATATTAACCTACAGTTTAAAATGGCACAAAATAACCTTGTTTCTTTTCCACTTGATCTCAACATCATATTAGTAGATATAACATCATAACAGCAGATTTAGAGACTTAAACATTTTATTACATTTTTCTTTCTTTTTTATGTTTTAGTGGTGTTTGCTATAAGGCATATTTTTGAGGAATATACTGTTTAAAAGTTTGGGGTTAGTAAGATTTAATTTTTTAATATAAATTGAAAGTTTTATTAATCAAGGATGCATTAAATTGATCAAAAGTGACAGTTTAAGTTACAAAAAAAATTATATTTCACATAAATGCTGATCTTTTGAACCTTCTATTCATCAAAGAATCCAGAAAAAAAATTACCACAGTTTCCACAAAAATATTAAGCACAACTGTTTTCAAATTGTGCAAATCAGCATATTAGAATGATTTCTGAAGGATCATGTGACACTGAACACTGGAGTAATGATGCTGGAAACTTAGCTTTGCATCACAGAAATAAATTACATTTTAAAATATATAAAATTAGAAAACAAGTTAATTTAAATTGCAGTGATAATTCACAATATTACTGTTTTTTTACTGTACTTGTGATCAAATAAACACTGTCTTGTGAGCAAAAGAGACTTCTTTCAAAAACATGAAAACAATCTTCCTGAACCAAAACCTTTGAATGGTATTATATAATTTTATATATACAATGTAGTATATTTTTCTATATTAAAACTTCAAAAACATTTTCATTCTTCTTGAGAACAGATTCCATTCAAACGTTATGTAGATAATTTCAGTAGCTGTAACTTTGTAAACTATATATTCAAGAAAATCTCTCGGTGATTTACAATGATAGAATGTTCACTAATCAAAATGTAACCAACAGTGATGACATCACTTTAATATTGTAACATTGCGCAGATTTTTGCGTAACAACATAAAATAAAGCACACACTGAGGGTTATAAGAGTCATGAAGCTTTTCATTAACACAGAATCAAAGTGTAAAACCCACACTTTCCTAAAACTTTAACACTATTCTCTTGTTGGTACTGGAAAAGCAACTCTAGCTACTACTACTGAGAAGAAAATAATGATATTCACAAGAGGCAGTGTCTGTGAATAAATGCACAAACCTCCTCGCAGTACTTGAGGTCAACAGATTTGCCGTCACTTCTAACGCAGTCCAGCATCCTCGTCTTGAGACCGATTCCACACACAGCGCTGGCACTTAATTGGCATGTGCTCCAGTCTAAGTGAACACACACACACACACACACACACAGATTTCACCCGGCGAGTTCTCATTAAACTACACGTCTAGGTCAGAGGTTGCTTGCGTCCTCGTGAGTGAATGGTTTGAGGACACCGTCTCAGCTCCATAAACCGACACCACCGCTGCGCTTCACTTTGACGCTCTTGGAGGGGAATCGTGAATGAAGTCTGAACAGATGGAGGAAGCAGCTCCAGTAATAATCCAAACTCTTGAATGACTCATTCATGTGAACGGTAACTCAAAACAGTAAGAGAAAAGGAAGTGCTGTGTGGATAATGCCCAGACTAGAAGAACTAAAAAACAACAGGCAGCCAAAGAGCAGGACAAAAGTGTTCAAGTCAACAAGAAACGGCATTCACAACCAATTTTACTGCAGTACCGTGGTGTATTTTTAGAGAGAAACAGGATGTTTTGAGGTAAAAATATCGATTTTATTTATTGATTTGGATCATTAATGTCACATTAACTTTAGAGAGGATACAGTTTGGCAAACCATTTGGGAAATTAAGACACCCATAAATATGACTGTTTTATCATTTTAATATAATACCAACTATAAAACTATTATAATTGTTATTTTACTTAAATACCTGATTTTTAATTTTACAGTGAAATATTACAATACTAATATTTCTTGTTTTGTTTTTATTTAGAAATGTATATATTTTAGTTAGCAGTAGTAGTAATTAGACACCCATAAATATGACTGTTTTATCATTTTAATGTAATACCAAATATAAAACTATTATAATTGTTATTTTACTTAAATACCTGATTTTTAATTTTACAGTGAAATATTACAATACTAATATTTCTTGTTTTGTTTTTATTTAGAAATGTATATATTTTAGTTAGCAGTAGTAGTAATAATAATAATAATTATAATAAAAATTTTAAATTAGATTAATTTTGATTAATTTTGTTTTGTTTAAAAAGGCCTTGTTTGTAAAGTTGCATATGGCCAATAATAAAAATAATTAATAATATATATATTTTTTAAACACCCTTGTTCCCGATCTCCTCTTCCAGAACACGGCTTTAAGAGGCCAATAAAACAGACTGCTGTTCATTTACGTTAGTGAGATCATAATTCTCTCATATTTCTCCTCAAGCTGCTCATTTACTGTCTAACAAGTGACCTGCTCTCATTTTTTATGCCACTATTTATGCCTCAATGTAAGTTGGCTCTAACTGAAATCATATAAGCCCAGGATAAAATTATGTCCCTGTTAGCATAAGCCAAAAATGTTATTGCTCAGACTGCTCAAGGGTTTTAAGGGATTTCTTAGATGTCTCAGATGCTTAGGATAAAAAAAAAACATAATAAAAAAAAAATCAGTGTTGTTATTGATAATCAGTGTTGCTATTGTTTTGGGGATTTAAATAAAGCTGGAATAAAATATAAATATTAGATTAAAAACAACAATAACAACAATAGCAGCAATAATAATAATAATTATTATTATTAATGGCCATGTGTGCTGCTTTTTTAAACTAAAAATAATAATAACCACATTTTAAATTATTATTATTATTTGCCATGTGTGCTGTTTTTTAACTACAAATAATAATAACAACAACCACATTTTAAATAATAAAAATAATAATAATTATTATTATTATTATTGCAGATGCTTAGGATAAAAAAAAACATAATAAAAAAAAAATCAGTGTTGTTATTGATAATCAGTGTTGCTATTGTTTTGGGGATTTAAATAAAGCTGGAATAAAATATAAATATTAGATTAAAAACATTAACTTAAAAAACTTAACGAATGTCACCTTGGCAACTAGATGAAATAAATATCTTTATGTATTAAAATGATTAAAGCTAAAATTATAACTAAATAAATAAATTAATATAATAAATAAATAAAATAAAATAAATTTATTAAAGATATAAAAAATACTCATAAAAATGACAAAAGCATATAAAATTATTAACATTATTAAAAATCTTTTTTGGATTGAAATAAAGCTGAAAAAAAAAAAGATATATGTTACATTAACTAACTTAAAATATCTCTTCCCCCCAAAACTACTAAAACTGAAATAAATAAATAAAATCTAAATAGAATGATAAAAAAACAATTAAAAGGACAAAAGCAAATAACTAAATTACTAAATGACTAAAAATAATTTTAGGTTTGTGAAGCTGAAGTGGAAAAAAAAATATCAGATGGAAAACTTAAACTGAAAAAACTAACGAAAATTAGAAATGTTGCCTTCACATCTAACAGAAATAAACTGTTGTAAGCTGAAGTACTATAATTGTTAAAACTAAAACTGAAATAAAAATAAATATAAACAAATATAAAACTAAAAACTAATAAAAATGACAAAAGCACATAACACAAATACTAAAACCTAAACAAAAATGTGAGTTTTGAAAATATAAAAATAAACGCCAATTCAAAATATTGCACGTAATGCTAAAAAAAATATATATATATAGTGGATAGTAGCTAAGTTGTTTGTTCTGAGAAATGTTTGAGTTTATATTGAGATCTTTTGATTGCAGACTTTGCTCTCTTGGCAAATCTGATGCACTGAGACATTGCTGAGATCTCCTCTGAAATGTGACATTACTAGGGTCTTTTCAAAGAAGTGAAATATTACAGAAATCAAATTAATGCGGAGATGCGACCCTAGTGTGAACGGGGTTTAAAAGGATTAGTGATAATCCTGACCAGGTCACATGGGGTCCAGGGGCTCCAGTCGGACAGCACACAGTCCTCGGGACAGGGCAGGCGGCTCTCCCTCGTGCCCTGTGGCATCTCCTCTGGATCACACAGATAGTCCTCCACCGCATCAGTGGGACCGTCCACTGTGTTCAACATACACCTGCAGGACCATCAAAGATGAGCACAGTATAATGTCAGTAACAGTACAGTAAATATAAGGAAAGACACTCACCTGACTCTTCTGGTCTGAACGCCCTCGCCACAGTTCTCCTTTAGATCCACGTTACTGACCTTCCACACGCTCCAGGGTTCAGCTACCCAGATATACTGACTGCAGTCACTGACGCACGGGACCACCTCATACATCTGCAACACCAGACCACCCACCACACATATACAATCACACACAAAGCAAATCAATTAAAGTTAAATCAATCAATCAGGATATTCATTCAACAGATTTTCAAAAATAAATCAATAATAAAAAATATTATTGATTCAAGTGCACCAGTTGCCAGTGTGCCATATCTTTAATGTGGGACACACCATTTTTGGAAGGGAGGCTACTTTTAAAATTTAAATCAACTTTGGAATGAGAAATGTAAAAAAAGAAAGACATACCTGTGCCTGTGGCCAAGCAGCGTTATTGGAGAGTTAGAGAAAAATGTCATTAGAACATCTGCGTCTACAGACCAAAGCACTGCAAAACATCATGTTCAGTTAAAAATGCACTTCTTGTTGTTTCTTTTTAAGAAACGGCATTGCTTAAACTCAACATGAAATACAGTTTACAAGACCAGAGATATCTATAATGAAAATAAATAGGTAACATTTTGATTTCTCATTGACAGTACAGAAGGCTGTGTAACTACTTTCTCTAGACATGTTCAAATTTGTTAAATGTAAAACGACATGACCTCAAACCACCCTAATAATCTCTTAATTAATAAAAAGGAAAGCACTGAAATTAAACCAATACCAAGAGTACATATTTGTCAGGAGCAAAGATCTCAGAAACACTTTAATGTGGTGTCGTCTATTTCTAGTAAATCTCAGTAAAAAAAAAAAAAAAAAGAGAAAGAGAAAAAAGTGGTTGAAGAAACACTGAGGTTGGCTCATCCTTTACATTTATAAAGAATAATAGAGCGATGAAAAGACAAGTATTTCTGAATAATTTAAGATTCACTTGTGAACCTATTTTTGGATCTTAAGCATGTGATTTTCACTGAATAATCAGAGCCAACGGTTCCAGAAATTGAGGGAAACTTTGAACTTGACTTTGTTTCAAAGCCTAGTGAACTGCCTATGTTGACAGTATTTTAAGATATCACAGGTGTGCTCCTATGCCTTAAAGGTCCCATATTGTCAAAACTGAAATTTCCTGGCTTTTTTCATGATTACTGAGGTCTAGGGGCTATTTAACTACCATATAAGTTTCAAAACAGACAGTCCACAGTAAAATGCACACAGCCTGCTTAAACCCAGAAAGGTGTACAATATGGGACCTTTAAGCAATGTCAAATCAGCATGCTTGCCTGCTGATACCTTCTTTTGGAGAAATTTTAAGGTAGCACTTTATGTATCCTTTGGCAATCCCACAGTGCATTACAATACACTCTATTCAAACTACACCCATCCAAAACGGAGGATGAGGAAAGATAAATGATTTTAAAGGGGTCATCGGATGCCCATTTTCCACAAGTTGATATGATTCTAGGTCCAGGGTCACATATCTAAATAAAAAAAAACGTCATTTAACATCTTTAAAATGTATTTCTCCATGCATATGGAAGTGTGGTGTTTACCTGGTTAAGGTGGTCCAGTTTTGGGCAGGGTCTTCCTCCATTGTAAGGCTTTTCTCTGAGCCATTTTGAGCGAACTTTGACCCCGCTGCCACAGGATTTACTGCAGCGTGACCAGTTGGACCATTCGCTGAGTTTACAATCAGACGGGCAGGGGACGATGCAGGCCTCCTCGATATACCCTAAAAACAGTATATATGTGAAAAAGGGAACATAAACACTAAACAAACTGTGGCTGGTCATTTTACATGTCAGTCAGATGGTCTCTCCTGTCTGGAAGTTAAGCCTAGAGGTGTGCGATATTGACAAAAAAAATTATATCTTGATTTTTATTGGGATTTTATCTTTATTTTTGATGACAATAATTAAATGATATTTTCCTAAGTGCAAGGCTGTAGGTTTGATTTTGGCATTGGTGGGGACATGGTGGCAGACTGTTTGATCAAAATTATTGATAGGGACAATTTAGTAGGATATAGTTGCTGGATTTGAGGACATGTGAACAGAAATCTGGCTCTAAGCCTCTTTTCTTTATTCAAAGTGATCTAGACAAGTATTTGGAAACTATCCAAAGTTAGGTTAATCCTAAAGCAGTGAAAACTGCATCTCTATGTGTCCTCTCAAGGTGAAAAAAACAAAAACATGGTTACTAGTTAAACCATGGTAACTACAAATTAATCATGGTTTTGTATACTTTCTTTCTTTTTCCTTTGTTTTGTTTTTACTTACTGTACTGCCTTACCGGTTTAATTTTGTCTAAATAAAAAGAAATCAGAAAAAAAGATTTGCGTTATGCGCTCCTAAGTCCCAATCTGAATCAAAGATTCACGATCCACGCTCCGAAGTTCCGATCTGAATCAAAAGATTCACGAACCTGCTCCGAAGTCCCGATCTGAATCAAAAGATTCACGAACCCGTTCCGAAGTCCCGATCGAAATCAAATGATTCACGATTCGCGCTCCGAAGTCCCGATCTGAATCAAAAGATTTGTGAAACCGCTCCGAATTCCCGATCGAAATCAAATGATTCGCGCTCCACGCTCCGAAATCTCGATCTGAATCAAAAGATTCACGAACCCGCTCCAAAGACCCGATCGAAATCAAATGATTCACGATCCGCGCTCCGAAGTCCCGATCTGAATCAAAAGATTCACGAACCCGTTCCGAAGTCCCGATCGAAATCAAATGATTCACGATCCGCGCTCCGAAGTCCCGATCTGAATCAAAAGATTCACGAACCCGTTCCGAAGTCCCGATCGAAATCAAATGATTCACGATCCGCGCTCCGAAGTCCCGATCTGAATCAAAAGATTCGTGAAACCGCTCCGAAGTCCTGATCGAAATCAAATGATTCGCGAGCCGCGCTCCGAAGTCCCGATCTGAATCAAAAGATTCACAAACCCGCTCCAAAGTCCCGATCGAAATCAAATGATTCACGATCCGCGCTCCGAAGTCCCGATCTGAATCAAAAGATTCGTGAAATCGCTCAGAAGTCCCGATCGAAATCAAATGATTCACGATCCGTGCTCCGAAGCCCCGATCTGAATCAAAAGATTTGTGAAACCGCTCCGAAGTCCCGATCGAAATCAAAAGATTCGCGACCCACGCTCCGAAGTCCCGATCTGAATCAAAAGATTTGTGAACCAGCTCTGAAGTTCCAATCTAAATCAAATGATTCCATTATTTTAGATTAAGCTGCACCTCAAAATGCATGTCAGATGGAAACAATGTGCATGATCGAGTTTGTAGATTAATTCACTAAATATTTTGATCCCCCCTGCAGTTAAGTTAGTGATAGTTCAATAGGAAATCAGTTGAAAGCATCTAGTCATCTCATTAGGTGAATATTCAATTGATCAGTACTGTAATAAATATTTGTGAAATTATTGTTGTATCTAATTGTATTAGTCTATATAGAGTGATAGTCAATGTAAAAAGAGCAAATGAGAGAAGCAGATGAACACAAAACAGCATAACAACAAAGTTAAAGAGGGTAATCATTTAGCTAACTGAACTGTGCACATATGTTTTAAACACTTCGGCTACCTTATATGTTCTTACTCCGCTCATGTAGGCTATTAAATGTGCGCCCTCGAAAGCATGCAGTTTCCTAGCGTATTTTTTTAACTTCTCAGGTAATATCAATGGCATGATCTATTTCAGATGCAGCCGAAATTACAACAACAGTGGTTACACATATATTTAATTTTTTTATCAAAATTATTGCTTGGGACAATTTAGTAGTCACTGGTTATTGGTAGGGACATGTCCCAAGCGTCCCTACTAAATGCTATGCCTTTGCTGGTTTAGGCCTGTCAAGGATAAATATGACACTAAAACTGCCAGTAGGTGGCAGCAAGTCCCTGTCTTAATGAGTGATTCACTGAATCATTTACTCAAACGATTAATTTAAAACCGCTGATTCATTTAGAAGCTCATGTGCTAATATTTAGGAAAATTACATTGTTGCTTGTGTGATCTTACTTTACTATATAAATATAAAAAAAACCCCACATAATTCTTCATTATACTTCAATTCATAATTATAGGGTCATTCTAACTGCATTGTAATAGGCTTCATCATGAAGTGATTGTTTTTAGGCTTTTAAGACATGTTTTTGTTGTTGTTTTGCAAAGTCAGTGACACAGGCTACTTGATAACATCAGCTCGCACATCGTTAAAACAATTACGATATTATTGCAGACGATAAATATCGCACAAACCCTTACTGAGATCTTTCTGGACAAAACAGGTCAAATAAAGTGGTCAAGCTGCTCAAAATTTTATTTTGTAACATTATAACCTTGCTAACCCAGGATCCTAGCAGCTTTAAACAAGTAGGTCCCACCAGCTAGTCAAACTAATATCTTGGACCAGCTAATGACCATAAATAAGCATCCAGAAACCACGCAAAACAAACTACCATCAAATGTAGCTGGATATTCCTGCAGGGTAATGATACATTAAATAGACTTACTGATTAAACATGCCACTGTGAAGTGGTTTAAATCTTGATTAAAAATGAAAAGCAAGCTTGTACCTCGCAGAGAACATTATGAGGCGCATAAAAAGTGTAAAAGCAATTGGTATAAATAGGTATGTTTGGAGCTGCAGTATTTGTGTGGAGAGTTGGCTGCGGGGTCAGAGAATGTGATATGCTTTAGCAGCTAATGCTGCATTTTATTACTGCTGTTTGCTCAAGCCATGTGTACTTCCTACTCATTTGGCTCAAGAGGATCTGCCTTTTCCAAGTACATACTGCAGGCCCAATAAACACACACACACATAATGTTGTCTCTGAGCACCATATCCTTCACAGCAGCCTTTCAAGAGCGGCCAACACTTGGCTCAAATGTAGAAATCGCTGCTTCCAAAATACTGTGGTAAATAATACATTATAAAACGGATGGTTCTGGAAGCTGATTGGTCAGTTCAGCGTTCCAGTCATTCACAAGCACACGATTAAAACAGCTATGATGTCAAACATATGTTCACAATATCACTGCACAACACCCACAGAGATTATTAACCTCAGCTTACATGACATGTGCTAAATCTTTAAGCACAGGGTTTTCAATTAATACATGTGCTTAAATAATGCTGTAACGAACATTTGTTTCCTTACTATTTTAATTATCCACTAACCATGCTGTATTATAATACAGTCACACATAAGAATGCATATATATACACAAACACAAATATAATGTTGTTTTTTTTTGCTCCATGGGTGTTGATTGCTATACACGGCTTGTTTTGATACAAAAATAAGAGAAACACTTGGACGAGGGTCAGTCTGACTGTTTTCAACCTTGTTTTTGTCTCCTAAAAACAACCAACTGGCCAGTTTTATTTGTTTTATTCCTTGCCAAAACCAATTATTACAGGCATTTGGCGCTTGCTGAGTGCTGATTTTGGACTCTGCATGCAATTGTGTGAAACTACGGTGCTAATGACGACATGAGTATCATGCATCAGAACAATTTAATGAGCAGACTCAATGTTATTTAATAAATGAATTTCACATAATAACAAAGAAAATGTTTATCCTGAAATCAAATGAAAAAAAATGTACATACAGAAAATTAAGCAATTTGAGGGCCTCTGAGATTTTTTTGTTGTTGCATAATTTTCTTGACAATGTCGTAAATTTATAGTAAAAATATATTTATTTATAAATTATGAAAGTACATAAAATGTACATTTAAAAATTGATATTAAAGATAATATAAATTAATTAATTATAATAAATTACACTTATGGTTTTCACCTTGAACATTAAAGGAACAAGACTTTTTGACATTGTCAAGAATATCTAAAAATAAAAGTAAACTAATTTTTTTTTTATAAAAGTGTTAAAACAATTAATTTATTAAAATATATAATTAATAAAATCAAATACAATTTTGAAATGAAAAGTCTAATAAAAATATCTTTAAATATATAGTTCCTCGAGCTGAAGGGATCCCCCGAATTTGGTACGGATTTGCCGCACCGTTACGGAGATATGGCCGTTCAAAGTTTCAATAGTTTCCATAGACTTAAGCTTTAAAGCGTTTTATCCAGGTCGCCAGCAGCCAGCGCTCTGCTGGACAAACTAAGTAATTACACCAATTCAAGCATTTTAGCTGCGTTATATGTTCTGTAAAAAAAATTTCATATCGGCGGCGCGTTTTATCCAGGTCGCCAGCAGCCAGCGCTCTGCTGGACAAACTAAGTAATTACACCAATTCAAGCATTTTACCTGCGTTATATGTTCTGTAAAAAAAATTTTCATATCGGCGGCATATCGGCAACAGGCTCATATCGGCCGATAATATCGGCAAAACGATATATCGGTCGGGCTCTAAACAACATATTAAAACTTGATTCACAATCATTTTCAGGAAGTTTAGGGTTGGTAAGTTTATTAATGTTTTTGAAAGAAGTCTTTTATGCTCACCAAGGCTGCATTTATTTGACCTACGAATACAGTAACATATTGTGAAATATTATTATTATTTAAAATAAGTGCTTTCTATTTGAATACATTTTAAAATGTAATTTATTCCTTTGATGAAAGGCTGAATTTCCAGCATCATTACTCCAGGCTTCATTGTCACATAATCCTCCAGAAATCATTCTAATATGCTAATTTGCTGCTCAAGAAACATTTATTATTATTATCATCAATGCTGAAAACAGTTGTGCTGCTTCATATTTTTTGTGGAAACCATGAAAAATTATTAAAATAAAAAATATTTACAAAAAATCTTACTGAGAACATGCACATATATTGGGTAAAGTAGTCAATTTTTAATTTAATTTCATTATTCATTATTCATTTTCATCATTTCATTATCTGTATCAATATTTGTGCAGTATTTCATAATTTACATCACTATTTTTTACTATTTTATCAACATTCAATAATTTATATCTTGGATTATATTGCATTTCCTAATAGAGTGACCGGTTTTATTTACTTAAAACCAATTTTTAACATATAAGTATATTCCTAAAAATACTTACATTTATTTTTTTATAAAAACAGTGAATAAATATGTACATTTAAACACATAAAATTATATTATAAATAAAAGAATAAATATACAAAAACCTTACTGACCCTAACGTTTTGAACGGTAGTATTCGTACAATCAGAAGTAAACACCAGAAAATGGGACACTCACACTTACTGCTATACATGTGTTGCCTTCAAATTAAACGTCAGAAAAACAAGCTCAGAAATAAACAAGCATTTATGTTTAGCCTTCTTTTGGAGGAGAGAAGTAAGAGTATTTAATGATTCACTTAGTAGCCTGAGGCAGACAGAGATTTCTGTTAAGAGGAACTGTAGTGATTAACCCAGCGAGAAAGAAAGAGAGACAGAGAGAGAATGGCTCCGTTCCAAAACCTGCCTTCTAAGACAGCATCTTAACTGAGATGGAACGTCATAAGTGACCGATTTGGAACGTTCTACATGACGTGCTACTCTAATAAGCATAAAAACACACCGCGCATACAAATTGAGTAAAGTACTCAATTTTTCATTCGATTTCATAGTCTTTATCAATATCTGTGCAGTGTTTCATGAATTACATCACTATATTTAGAATCAACATTCAGTTGTAGCATCTACATCTAGGCTGTTGTAATGTATTATGCGATTGTCTTTTCTGTGGAAGATATATGCATAGCTGCCTTTGGCGATACCTTAAAATGGAACAAAGCTTTTGACAAGAGAGAGTAATGAGACTGATCATGAGGGATCTGCTGCCTAAGAGCGTCAGGAGACGCTGCGTGGAGATCATGAAGCTCATGGAGGCTGCTGAAACTTCATCTCTCCGTGTGATTTCATGTGAAAGTCCCCGGGAGGGCATTCGTGATGCCAATGACGGAAGTACAGATCAGATTACGAGCGAGATTTCTGATGTTTTCTGGAAAATAATTGGACTTAAATCAATTGTGGAGTCAAATTCTCAAGACTTTAAACTCCTGGGAAATAAAGCAGAGGAAGTAACTGAATAATACAACATTCAAGCCTTTTGCCAAGATTATTTTAAGCCTAATCACATTTCTCATAAAAACTCTTACTTCATTTTCATTTGACAACTCTCATCTCACAGTTTTTAAATGTGGGCTGCTGATCAGCCTGAATAACATCAAATCATGATTATTATCTGTATTGATTATTGATGTTTGCCCAGTCAAGCGTTACTATTAATATAGCTCATAATATCATATAACTCATCTAGTAAAGAGATTCTGTTGCAATGCATGTCTTAAAAATAAATCTTTACTCACAAAAGGGTCAGACATTCTGTCATTCTTCCAGTTCAAATTAAACCATTTGTTTATGTTGCATTTCCTACTAAAAGTTACTAGTTAACTGGCAAGTGACTGGTTTTATGTTTTTTTTTAACATATAATATTTTTTTTATATATTTAATAACATTTATTCTTAATAAATACATAAATAAATAAAAATGTAAATAAATGAATAATTAAAAATTATATTATAAAAGATATATATATTAATTCACATTTTACATCTAAAAACTTGTGCTGTCAATCGATTAAAAATAATTAACTAATTAATCACAATTTTTTTCTGAAATTAATCGTGATTAATCCCACCTAACATTAAACTTTTTAATTATACTTTTATATTGCAATAATTTCAAATTCAATCTTCAAATTAATGTAGAAACAATATAAAGAAAATATATTTTTAATATTTGCTTAATGCCATCTTTTTTATGACTGAAGGCAAGTATCAGTGATACCAACTGATGTCTCTATGAATTTTTTCCTAATATTTAACCATTGACTATAGCCATTCAACATTACAGTATATTTGAGAGCTATCAATTTAACATTTATTAGACTTTAAAAAATAACTTCTAATTTAAGTGAACTTAAAAGAATCTTCACATAAACCCATTATAATAAATGTCATATAGCTACCTGAAATACCTGAATTCTAAATTAAATAAAGATTGAAACTACAGAAGTTATTGATTTCCTCTTTTTTATTTTGTTCTTTGAGTAACAGACATCTCAGCAGCTGGTTATTAGAATATTTTGGCTGGTACTTTAAGAGCTGCCGCTGCTGAACTTGACGCGGGTCTGATACTGCTTTAAATGTGACTCATAAATAATAAATACTTACATGCACAGTTTTAAGGCAGCTTTAATTGCCTTTTTTTTTGTAACCTCATGACTTAACTGACGTCATAACTAAGACATTGCATACTCGTAGTTTCATTTGGGTTTGAATATGATACAGCGCTTTAATATAGCCTAATACAGTGCACGCCAGCACATTAGTGCATGCACTTGAAGAGCACACGCTTCGAGCACAGTATAACAGCTGACAGGACAGGAAGATTAGTTTTTACTGACATATGGCCTGACAACATCTCATCTGAACGCAGTTCACTGTTGTTCTACTGATACTCCTAAGTATAAATGTGTATAGAACTTCTAAGAGAACAACCTTTGTTATGTCGAGATACCGAGAAAAATAAGTCGTGATAACGAGAAAACAATTTTTGTTATGTCGAGATCACAAGAAAAATAAAGTCGTGATCACGAGAAAACAACTCTTGTTATGTTGTGATCACGAGAAAACAAGAAGGAAAAAATAATAATGCATGGCCGCTTAGAACTTCCGTAAAAATGTTTATATTACAAATATAAACAATATTTATATTACAGAACCAATTTCTAACCCTGATATCATGAAAATCATTCGTACATTCAAAGCATTTTTTGAAATGTATTCGGGCTGAATAAGAACCCGTTCTCGATTCCCAACCCCGCGTGGGCCGTGTGCTGTAAAAGCGAGAGTATCTGTCAGTGGTTAATGTCAGCTCTGATTAGGCCGATCCCGGGACAGCATGCGGTCTGTAATGAGGGCCGGAGATTTATACCTGCAGATCAGCAGGGCGCAACAGACACTCGGGCAGAGGACACAGTCAAGCGAGCAGCGCCTGGCACTCATACCAGTCCGCTCGTCATCCAAATAACAAGATTAAGAGAGCAATGCACCAAAAGATTCACAAACAGAGAGATCAGCTAAAGACAGAGGAGAGGAAAGGTCACGAGAGAGAGGAAGCTGTAGACAGAGACAAATTAATAGGGATGAAACAACACATGATCAGTTGAAGGTGTGATTTACCTGTCCTTAAATGTCACGCTTTATAGCCAGACAAAAGCTGCAATTTGGACTTGACGTTGCACTCAGCAAATTTAGACATGAATGCTTGATTTTCTCATGCTTTTTTGTATACAACCATCTTTTTTATCTATAATAACCATGCTATAAAACAGAATAGTTTATAGCATGACTTAATTACAGTTTTATTTTGTCTGGGTTTTCCATGGCTATGGAAACCTAATAAAAAAATTTCAAAAACCAGCTTATATTTTAAATTAAAATTAAACAAATACAATTATTTTAAACATTAAGTAAAATAAAAACTAAACATTTTAATAAAAAATAAAAAATGCTGACGTTTTAAATGCTTCAAGCACTTACAGTATATTATCAACTTTGAAAAAACAAATAAAAAATAAACAATATAAATTATTTATTAAGCTGCAGTTTTAAAGGCTTAATAAAAGCACTTACATTACCAGCTTAAATACATAAATAAATAAATACATACCATATTAAGACTGGCTGGTAATAAAACAAAAATAAAAACGTATTTATTAAGCTCCAATTTTAAATACGAAAGCACTTATATTATCATAATCATTAAATACTATATTAAGACTGGGTGGACTGGGTGTATACATACATACATATCTTAATATAGCATTTCATGGTTATATTATCTTAAAAAAATATTTATCAAGCTCCAGTTAGAAATGCTTCCAGCACTTATAATTATCAAAAAACATGGTTAAATAACATAATCATTCAATTCTATATTAAGACTGGGAATATTATTTTATAAATAAAATAAAAAATATAAAAAATAATAAAAAATTTAATGATAATAAAAAATGTAAACATTTATTACAATGGAATGTCTTTTTGTCATTTTTTGTATGCAAATTACATGTGAATGCTTTTTTTGTATGCAAAACCGGATACATTTTCATAAGAAATATTTAAAATTCATATATTTCCAAGATTTTTCAAGCTGCTTTTTAAAAATTTGTGCTTAGTACGTCTGCAAGGCCATACATTTAAACCGTCAAATCTTCACAGGTTGGGAATTTAACCCACGGCTTGGCTTGGCTTATTAATATAAATTAGTTTAGTGCCATCCAGGAAGGTAACTTAGCACAGTCAGCTAACTATAATTATGTCATGATGTCAACTCTATGCTCAGAGTCACGTGATGAACACTTTACCGTGACTGTTACAGCGTGAAGTCGCCACAAGCCTGTTGTCCTGGTCGTAGCACACCATGGCCTGGTAGCGGTAGCCCTGTCCACACTCCTTCACGTCTCCCTGCACCGTCATGCCTGCAGCGTTCTCCACGCGGCCCTCGGGCAGGATGCAATCAGACCAGTTTCCCACCGGCTGGGCGCTGTATTTGTCACAGGGGCAGTACTGGGTCTCGCTCAGCGGGTACATCTGGCTGTTCTTACACTTGTCCTTCTTCTTGCTTTTTCCTGTAATCAGAGGAAGTAAGTGTTGATTACGGCACTAATTAAGCTCACTAATGAATGAGTCATGAGCGCTGAGGTCACCTCTAAACCTCCCGACTGCCTCAGATCCACCGTGTCTTGCAGCTGCATGACTGGCTGGACTAATACTTACCAAAATTATAATCATATTACCATGATTTTTGGACATGATATGAGGCAATAACATGCTGTGCTTTATCATGGTAATACCCCAGGCTGGGTTATATATCTAATATTCATGAATGAGGTTTTTGTTGCCAATATATGATTAATTCATTATTTTTCATATTTTAAATGTTATTGTAAAAATAAACACAGGTTTATTAGATACCACTCACATTTTCTTCAGAAAATGTAGTTATGTATTGTTATATTGGTGTATATAAATAAAAGGGATTGAATAAATTATAATACTCTACAGATGAAAAGTCTGAAGTCAGTATATTTTTTGACAGAAATTAATACGTTTATTCAGCAAGGACACGTTAAATTGATCAAGTGCCAATTAAGATATTTATAAAGTTACAAAAGATTTCTATTTCAAATAAATGCTGTTCTTTTAAACGACCCAAAAATGAATAAATCAATAAATAAAACTATCCAAATCCGATATTGTACGCCTACTATTCTGTGTTATTGTCATGATTTTTCTAGATTAACTTTTGCTGCTAAATTATCCACTAACCTAGTTTATAATAGTATTTTTGTCATAGATTATGATCAAATATATTTTTCATTTATTATTTTTCATTAAAATGAAGTTGTCTGTATTTAGCAGATTGTGTTCAACACACAAAAGATTGACGATAAGGTCATCAAAGTAGTATATAAATTCTACAATGCCTAGTTGAGAAAAACTGCGCTGGTATTGGATCGTATCGGTATCGGCCAATAGAATTTTCTGGATTGGATCAGATCGGCTCTGAAAAAATGGTATCGTTGTATCCCTAGTTTTTGCTATTTTAGTACATCAGGTTGAACTACATTAAAATGAGAAATGTTGCATTGGCAATGAGTTATAATAAAAAATATATTTTATTTTATTTTATTTTACGTTTACTTAGTCATTTATTTATTTACCTATTTATTTATTTATTTTACGTTTAGTTTCAGTTTTAGTTTACTAAAATAACTTCACCTTGGTGAGCCTAAGAGATTTCTTTAAAAAGTGTATATAAAAAATATTTCAACATTTTTTTTACTGAATTTTAACCTTTTAAACAATTGTATAAATATCATGAATATTGATATTAAAAAGGGGTATTGCCCAACCCAATAAACACACTTAAGTATTTTATGGCCTATGATAATGTGAAGTATATCAGATTATATATAATGGAATATATCCATATGCATCCAATAATGCCTTGAATCTTGTACTAGAAGTAATTTATCATTTAGTAGAAATACCTCACTCCATTCTGGGATGGAACCAGCAACCTTCTGAGTTCAAACCACAGTGTTAATGATGCATATGTCCTAATTACCCATGAGAGCTCTCCTCCGCGTACGGACCCCTACGCAGTCCGAGGTGCAAGGAGAGAACTTGGACCAGTTGGTGAGCTGGCAGTCGTCTCGGCACGGTAACTGGCAGGGCTGGCTCATAACCGGCATGCTGCTGGCAAACTTCAGACACTGAACCACATCAGCCACTGTACCATCCAGCTGCCTACACGAGATAGCTGCAGATCACACACACAAACACAGCGCTGAGACTCCTGCTGATTACACAGAGCACCAGACACCAGAGAGAAAAGGTGCAGGTGAACAGAAGATGCTTATTTATAGAAATGACAAGCGGGAGAGAGTCATGCTGTTCACTTTGATCAGAAACCAGTTTAAATTATGCATTACATTTCTGTAGTTTTTATATAATCCAATTATTTTTTTCCATCTGTTCTGGATTATTATTATTATTATTATAAGCACATTTTATAGAGATTTCTGTGTAATTAGTATCCAGTAAGACAATATCTAGCCATATCTTTATTTTATAGCATAGCATAACCATTTATATTCACTGTAGAATTTTAAAATATATAAAAAGCTATGGGTCCTACTCGTCATGCTTGTCATGTGACACACAGCAAAATATATAAGTATGGCTGATATAGGCTTATGTTTTTTTTGTTTTTTTTTTATATTCCCAAACGTGTTAACTATATCATGAAATATCTTAATTCTCAAATATGTGTAAATAAATGCATTTTGCACCTTTATAGATTATGTTAGTTGATCGATAATGGGCGAGGGGCAAAGTAGCCTAATAGTGTAATCTATTAACTATGCATAAAAACCCTGGGTGTCATGCCATAAAATATTTTTAATATCGTGAATTTAATAAAAACATTGTAATTTACTAATTATAACACTTTCATTGTACAGAAAGAAAGCAAAGAACATTTACATTATCAAAGAACATTTTAAGCACTCTCAAAAACTCTTATTATAATCACTGAAGCTGTTCACACTGTGAAATGAATATACTACATCGTAGCACATCAGCATTTTGTTGTTTCTGATGAGAGAATCACCAGAGAGCAGAATTCCTTCAGCGAGCGAGTGAACAAAACACCGGCATTTCAGCGATGACTCATCGGAACGCCTCTGATTGCATTCATAAGCTCAACAGAATCGTGTGTGATTGGTTATAATGCTGTAAAAGCGCTGTAAAAACGCATCTGTCTCTGGCTCAGCGCCAGCCAAAGCGCAAACGCAGATTTGAAATTAGCAGCTGATGCTGTGCCGCACTGCACGCTCTAATCACGCTGGTGTGATTGTATAAAATATATATAAAACATTTATTTGGCTATTTTTTGTCTTTTGGAAGCTGCATTCAAAATCCACTTGGCTTAAAAATGTTTGAATGGGCATGACGCCTCTGCATACATTGAAAGTCATTGGTAACTAAAAGAGCTTTGTTACCAACAGTCTTCAAAATACCTTCTTTATGTTCCACAAAAGAAAAGAAATAAATGACGACAGAATTAACATTTTTTGGTGAACTATCCCTTTAATGTTTTTATTTTATTATTATTATTTTTTTTTTTACGAAATGATACTCTGAAAAAGAAACTAAATCTGCCAGCATGTGGCGGTAAATGCCTTTATGATTTGTTCAAACGGCTGATTCATTCAGTAAAGAAGTAAACGGCTCTCTTTATGAATGGGTCTATGAATCATTGATTCACTCGATTCGTTCAAAACGTGGATTCATTCAGAAACTAAACACCGCTGTGTTGCTCTGAGACGCACAACAATCAAAGTCCTTTTAAGACAAGTCATGTCACTCGGCGGCCATCTTTGAAACGCCTCTCGGGCATGCAAGTGCAACTCCTATCTCTTTGAATGGGAAGACATCAAATTCTCCAAAACTGTTCACTAAGCTTACGATTAAATTTCATATTTGAAATCACCAATGAAATCTGACAACAACTGTCATAAATGTTGTTTCTTTTGCTCAAATAGCGTTATAAAAAGCTTATTTCTTAGGCTAGACCAGCCAGTGTGCATGCGCAGTCCTAAGTTTCTATAGCAACCGCGACTTCTAACGGCAGCTGCAGTGACGCGATGACTTTACTGATTAGCGATTGGCTCTTTTGCTCAGAAGGCGGGGCTTCGTTCGATACAGCGGCCATATTGAGTGTTGCATTTTTCCCCATTCAAAACTATACGAGTGACAGGTCTTGGGTATTCTCAGAGCCGTTGTATTCTATGGTCTTTGACAAAGACCCACCCTCCTTAGTTACTGTTGCTATCCCCGACAAACAATGCCACTCTCACACTACACACATGTTCTCACGCACTGAAAAATACATCACAGAGCAAAGAGGAAACTGACAACACACCAGCAGAGAAGACAGAGCAGGTTACTTCTGGTATGAAACAAGGTCGATCTTTTTTTTTACCCCGTTTTAACATGGATTTCTATGGAGACCAGCCATAGCTGTCGGACAAGATGGCGGATAGCAGCGGCGGCACATAATATCCGCGTTCTGATTGGTCAGATCGCCTGTCAATCAAGCTCTTTGAGAACGGTCTAGCTTTAAAGGTAATATATTTTCTGCAAAATTGAGCGAAAACACATCATATTGTGTTTAAAATATAACACAATATCAACTTCTTATTTACTGAACTGTTGTAAAAAAAAAAACACATTTTAACTTGTGATATTCGGGACAAACAGCACTAGTGTGATAGCTCTCCCTGCTCGTGTAATGTTAATCGCTTATCATATGATATAAATATGAGATAAAAACACATACAGGAGCATTTTTTGCACCAATATCTTGAATTTTAGGGCATAACTGTATTTATGGACTTGTTGCCCTGCATCATATTTCTCAACAGTCAACTATGAAATGTAAGATGATGTACAGGTCTGGGGGCGGGGCCAGTGCGTTAACTGCGTTAAAATATTTGAATCGCATTATTTTTTCATAACTAATTAAGTTAACGTTTTTAATGTAATTATACTTATGTCCAATAACATTAATATTCACTATAGAAGTTTTCATTACTTTTAATATTTTATTCATTTCCATAATTTTTCCGGGTGTAAAAATGACATTTTTTTTCTCCCCACGGTTTCTATAACTGTGCAAATCTGATAATAAAGTTTCTTCAAAATAAAAAGGGAAATACATTAAACTCACTGATACAGAAAAAAAAATAGACAATACAGAGAGCTGATAACTTTCTTAACATATGATTAATTATTTTACACATTATGAACATTTATGTAAAATACAAAATAAAATAATATAAAATAAAATAACACATTGCTAAAATTTGAAATGCTTCATGCACTGACATTATCAGCTTTAAAAAGCATTTTTTTAAAATTAAAAATGATTAATTATATTTAAACAATGTAATGATTAAATACTATATTAGTAATGGCTGGTACAAAATAAAATAAAATAAAATAAGCTTAGTATTTGCACCACTATTAAGCTTGTTACCATAACTCAGTTTAATCTATTAATAAACAGTTACAATATCTCACTAATGTGTTCAACATGAGTGGTTCAGAAAGCTACTACATCTGTAAAGACAGGCCTGTTAAGCTGTTGTCATTCCAGTGAAGCTGTGTAATATATTAAGACGCAGTCACGTTGGTAGTGACATGAAGACGAGTAAACAGGAACCATTAGGTCAAACTTTAGGCCACTACAGAGTTCAATAGAGTGATGACGCCAACACAACAACGTCCTTCCGTACTGTCAAGAGCAATCAGATCAAGAGTTTGAAGGATTGCGTCTGCTCCTGACATGCACTGAAGGGCAAATGTGAAGTCTAGTGTGATGGAAGCCCTTGTCAGACCAGTATCTATACCAGGATAATACATAATAAAGTCTTTCACGGCCTCAAGAGTGACAGCAATCTCTAAAAGAACTGGACAAATAAAGAAAAGAGCACCTAAAACAATTATGAAAACACTTTGTCAACTTCAACTGGAAAACTGAAAATAATAATACATTTTTGAAAGCGACAGACTCTGAGGAATAAAGCAGAATGCAAATGAGAGAAAAGCAATCCACAGATTCAAGAGGAGATCTTAGATCAGATATTATACCAAATTTATGGCTGTTGCATAAGATTTCACAGCTACAGAAACAGTATTTGGACAGTGTGGCCGGAAATCACTAAGAATAAATTGTGCACACTCTGCCTGAGTTGCTGTAGCATCCGATTAAAGGAATTATGCAAATACGCACAAATTCTGTGTAGAATGCATTTTGCGCACTGTAATTCTCGACTGCAGGCGGCTAGTGAATAAGACACAGGTTATGCAGGAATACTGTGTGTTTAGTGAATGTGAGTGTGTAACATGACAGCTGACGTACCTCTAGTTTGGACTCCAGCGCCACAGTTCTCCTGAGCTCCTTTACTGTCTCTGCGGATGCTCCATGGGACCAGCTGACATTTACGCCACTTGTGCGTTTTCCACCTGCAATTTCAAAGCGGTATCATTATATTTATTGGTAGAGGTTGATCAGTTACTGCACTGGAAATCCTAATTAGCTGCCTTAACTTGAAAAAATATCAGGAAACCCACTGTCTCGGAAAATAAACTCATTTGAATTAAGCTGCCCACAATCTGATAACATCAGGATTAACCATTTCACTACCGAAAAGAAAAAAGCTGCATACAGGTTTTGAATGCTAAGCGGTTGAGCAAATGATGACAGAATCTTCATTCTGGGGTGAACTATTTCTATAAGTGAACATATCTTTATTTACTCGAGAAGGTCATTTTTAGCAAAAATCTATCCTGAATGTCAATAAATGTGAAATCCAGCACAGAATAGCTGATAGTGCAGAGGCAGTGCTCGTGGGTGAAGCTGTACCTGTAACCCGGACAGACAGATGGAGTCGCACAGTCTTTCTCTTCATAAAGGACGTCTGGACACTCCTGACCTCCATTAACTGGCATCTGGATGATCACTCGATAGCGAAACTGTTTATTCTTCTGCCCATTCACACCTGTCGTTTTAAAAACTAATTTAATATCATGACAAATTATGCTAGATAGATAGACTCGTTAGACATAACGAATGATGGGTAGACAGATGTAAGAATGGACAGAATGAACAATAGACAGATACAATGAACAAATCACAGATATAACAATTCAAACGATAGATGGATAGAACAAGATACAGATAGAACAATAGAAAGAATGACCAAATGACAGATAAAAATAGAACAAATGATAAATGGATAAATATAAGGAATAATGGGTAGATACTGTAAATATAACGATAGATGTAACAAATTAACAAATGATAGATAGATAAATAGATGGATATAGACAGATAGAACAACTGAAAGAATGATGACAGACAGACAGACACAGATAGACAGATATAGATAGATAGACAGATATAGATAGACAGATAGATAGATAGACATTCAGACAGACAGACAGACAGACAGAGATAGATAGATAGATAGATAGATAGATAGATAGTCATACATTCAGACAGACAGACACAGATAGACGGACGGACGGTCGGACGGACGGACGGATGGATGGATGGATCAAAAAATGACAAACAATAGATAGCAATGGAATGGACACTTCAATAGCGCACATTTCTCTAGGTTAACTTTAGATTGAGCGGCCATGTAAAGTTGCTGCTACTTACATATTTCAGATAAGCCATATTTTAGATCGATGAATGATAAGCGAGCATTTGGATGTCCTGCCCAATGTACTGTATTACCACAAAGACCAGCCGTTAACAATCTGTCTGTCACGGACTGCATAAGTTCGCCTGTGGATTTTTTTTTTCCTGCGACTAAGCGACTAAAAAAAATTTGGTCGACCAAGCCTCTTCTGGTCGACTAACGGTTAGTCGACTATTAGGGGGCAGCCCTAAAAACAATAGATATAAGGATGGATGGATGGACAGATGTGGTGTACCTGCTTCACAGGAAGTGGGGCACTCTGTCCATTTACTGAAGTGTGTGACTATACAGTCTCTCTTGCAGGGCAGCAGACAGGGTCTCACTGACTCCGGCCGAGGGGCTTCAGGACATCTGAAACATCATACAGACACCGAAAGATCAGCAGGACACTCAACACAAGAAAATCTATCTGACGCACATGTGTTTTGATCACAGGAAGCAGGTGGATAAAGAAAGCCCTGTGTCGCACTTTCACCGAAGACCCAATCACCTAAACGAGATTCATTATCAGACTTAACTACTGCAGGTCACCTGAGCACACAGCTCTTCTAATGGATGTTTTATAGAATTATTTATTTCCTCTGACTAGCACTCAGTTTTAGTCAAGGTTTTCACACCATTTTCTGCTCTTCCTCTCTGACCCTTTAAACGAAACAGGCCATTACTGCTGTGCTTGCGCCCGTAAGATTTTTGAGAAACACTATCTTTGCATATGAAATGAGTAACAGCGCTGTGTTGCACACATAGTTCATCCAATATACTTTTTTAACTGCTCCATCTTTCAATAACAACTTTTTTGTAAAGCATTACATTCACTGGTTTACAAAATAATCAGCACAGAAATGCACACTGCATCTCAGATAACTAGAAAAACAGCGTTAGAATTGAGTCATTTTCGTGAATCAATTCAAACTTTCCACTTCAATGCGTTAAATTAACTCTCAGATTTAGTCTCCACATGGCATTTATTTGTGTATTAAGATTTAAGACCTTTTAAAGACCAAGTAAAGAAACTGTGAAGAATAAAAGGTAAATGTCTTCTATTAGCAACACGATAGTTTTCTGTTTCCTCAAAATATAAGGCTTGATATTTTTGCTCCCAACCTCTACAATATAGAAATATCTACAATATGGAAATATTTATTTTCTTCTGATCACACTGCAAAAAAAAAAAAAAACTGACATTCTATATCAGCATTTTTGTGTTGTTTTCCAATGCAAATGTCTAGAGATTCTTAGTTTCTTTTATTCGCTTTGGTACTATTTTCACAAGCAACTGTTACATTTTCAAAACTATTAGTACTAATTTCACAACAGATCATCAAAAGTGCACTTTTTTCAAACATTTCAGCATATTTTCAATTGTCTTAGTACAATGCACACAATCAGAAAGTGTTAGTGTAGGGGGATAGAATATACAGTTTGCACAGTATAAAACCCATTACTCCTATGGAATGTCACCATAATGATAGGAATACCTGTGTGTGTGTGTGTGTGTGTGTGTGTGTGTGTGTGTGTGTGTGTGTGTGACAAAATGACAAAATCACCAAAAACCATTTGTAAAACTGTGTGTTACATACAGCAGGGTATAAGGGAGAGAAACTGATCAGAGATTGATCAAAGATGTATCAGAAGAAGGGAGACAGATGGCATCAAATACAGCATTTTATGCCATGTGATACTGTACATAGAGGCATTGCATGGTAAAGACGGTCACTGCACATTACTATAACTCACCTTTCAACTGAAAAGTTCAGGTACAGTATAGATTCAGTCATATGTCATAATGCACTGACAGTAATCTCTGTTCTAGCACAAAACCTTATGGCCATATCACACCTTCATAACACCTTTTAATACAGTAACACACTGTATAAATACTTTTACAAACATTATGGATTTTATGTGAGTTATTCAAGCTAGATAATGTAATATTTTCTAACATTACTGTAATTATATTCAGTGTTTTGAAACATTTATCTTGCATTGTTTGCTACTGAATGAACTGATTGTTAAAAGTACTAAGTTGAAAGAAGATCTTACTGTTGTGTTTTGGTGATTAAACCAAATGTTCTCAATGTTCTCACAATGATCTTGTGTTCTGAAACAATGATTATGTGGAGTGAATATATATGCAACTACAATGAAATCATGAGATCAGGTTTTGAAAGAATGACTACAAGTGTGATAAGTTCTGTACTAAAAGTTTGGAAAATGTACACCTTACTTATGAAAACAGTACCAAACCAATTAAAAAACTGTAAATCAAGATTTACTTAAGAAGCAAAATTACATGAGTTATGAAGTCTGGTTTATGGGAAATTGATCAAAATGGAGTTTATGATTAAAACAAGAACAAATATATGCCAGTTTGCCAATTTTTACAGTATTTTACTTCTTTTAATACAAAAAAGTAAAATAAATAAATTAGTTAATTAAATTATTTTTAAAAAATGTGTTTTGGTGATTAAACCAAATGTTCTCAATGTTCTCACAATGATCTTGTGTTCTGAAACAATGATTATGTGGAATGAATATATATGCAACTACAATGAAATCATGAGATCAGGTTTTGAAAGAATGACTACAAGTGTGATAAGTTTTGTACTAAAAGTTTGGAAAATGTACACCTTACTTATGAAAACAGTACCAAACCAATTAAAAAACTGTAAATCAAGATTTACTTGAGAAGCAAAATTACATGAGTTATGAAGTCTGGTTTATGGGAAATTGATCAAAATGGAGTTTATGATTAAAACAAGAACAAATATATGCCAGTTTGCCAATTTTTACAGTATTTTACTTCTTTTAATACAAAAAAGTAAAATAAATAAATTAGTTAATTAAATTATTTTTAAAAAAAATACATTTTTAAAGTGATAGTTCCCCCAAAAATCATTTACTCACCCTCATGTCACTCCAAACTTGTATTATATTTCTTTTTAATGCAGAAGAAGATAGTTTAAAGGGGTCATATGATGCTGCTAAAAAGAACATTATTTTGTGTATTTGGTGTAATGAAATGTGTTTATGCGGTTTAAGGTTAAAAAAACACATTATTTTCCACATACTGTACATTATTGTTTCTCCTCTATGCCCCGCCTTTCTGAAACGCGTCGATTTTTACAAAACTAATCGGTCTGAAAAGCGAGGTGTGCTCTGATTAACCAACTATCCAGTGCGTTGTGATTGGCCGAAAAGCTCAAGCGTGTGACGGAAATGTTACACCCCTTACCATATTGTGATGCCCTGTGTCCCGGAGTGACGAGACAAAAACATTAAAACCCATTATAAACGAGGCATTCGTTGCATCCAGTGGGGACATAATTATGGATTATAATGACTTATACTGTATTTTTACGCGTTGCGTTGC